GCGGACTCCCTGACAAGCAGCGCAACACTGTGCGATGCGCAATCACATGCCATGCAAAACGCAGCAAGGCAACACAATCCAATTCGAACTACATAATAGCAACATCCACTCATGCAACGCAGCGGAAGTTAATTCGAAACGAAACGTTTCGAACCAGATTTCCAATGTAATGGAAACGTGTCAAATTTCATCAAGTAAGCAAATCGCACCAATTGATTTCCATGCTATGTGCAACATGACCTATCAACACATACGGAAGCAATGCTCTGCTAAGAGTGCCGCTGCGCTGTACCGCAATGGCGACATCATTAATGCTCAAGGTAGCGGGGTGGTGCCGTTTGGGATACTGCCTCCAACCACTTCTCACAGCGTATCAATCAAGCGAGGGTCATGAGGCCGACCGCCACTTGGAAGGGGAAGGGTTGGAGGTTCGAGGGGGCGAATGGGGAAGAAGGAAAGGATCGACGAGTCGAACGGAGCGGGTGTTGAGGGGTTGAAGGCTTGCTGGCCGAACAAAATTGAAAAGTTGAGTGGGGGATGGGAGGCTGAGGAATTGAAGTGTGCTGGGGCCCAGGACGGCCTTCACGGGCGGGCTGCATGGCCAAACGTGCAACTGCACACAAACCTTCAATCGTCCCAGCAATCCTGAGCCGCCGATCGCGAGCTGAACCGGCCAGGCGGGCCAACGCCGAAGGTGAAGCCCTTGTGATCGGGGCGCGGCTAAGCCTGGAGCCTGCGTCAGCCGTGCCGTTGGTCGTGCCGTTCTTCGCAAGCGCCCCCGACGTGACGTTGGCTGCCCCTGCAGACTGCCCCCCGACGAATAGCGAGCCGCTTCTCTTTGCACCAGATCTCCATCGCTTGGTTTGGCGTGGCTTGGCGTACTCACATTTGAATAAACACATGTTACCATCTATTCTATCTTATCACGCTTTAGGTGCCGCTGTCCTTTTATGCTTTGCCGTGGCTGGAGCTTCAACTGTAGCTGTAGCCTTCGATTGAGCTTGTTAGCTTTGGTGTAACATAACTATGATCAGCGTGATCATTCCGATCGCTCAGCATAGCCGAGCGCGGCTTTACTCTGTAGAAGTTTGCTGGCTCTTTGGCTTCAGCTATAGAGGTTACTTGAGCTTTACCTCAAGACTACCTTTAATGATGTATCGCTTCGGCTTGATCAATTGGGTTGGTCGCATATTCGTTTGGTTTCAGCTTTAGCTGAGCTTGGGCCTGCATTGGCCTGATAGCTTCTCTTAGCTTTGCTGGATTTGGTCGGGCGTCGCTTGACTGGGACTGGTGTGGCCTAGCATCGCCCATCACCGCTCGCCTTATCACATCGTGAGTGGCTCGATCAGCTCGGCATTGCCTGGCTTTATCTCGCCAGGTTCGTCGTAGCATGCTCTTGACCGATCGCGCCTGAATTTGCATTAGTTAGCACTGCCTTAATCCAGTCTGGCCTTGCCACCAGTTTCGTCTCCGCCTCGTGTAATAAGCTCCTGCCTTACTTCACTCAGACTCGCTTCTCTTATTATAGTGTAGCTTAGAGCATTTCAGCTTGAACTAGCTTTGCTTGTCGTAGCTGGGCTGGGATGGCAACTGTCAGGATCAATCAACGAAGACGGCCCAAGAGGGCCCCAAGACGGCCCAATTGGACCCCCAATACTGCCCCATGGGAGGCCAAGGCAACCCTAAGACGGCCCACATGAGCTCCATAGTACTTGAAGACGCGAGGTGTCACATGTGGCGGCCTTCCCTTCTTCTTCTCATCATCATCGTCCTCGTCGTCGTCGTCGTCCTGGCCCTCGTCATCGTCCTCGTCGTCTTCCTCGTCGTCTTCGTCGTCGTCGCCGTCGTCGTCGTCATCATCGTCACCATCATCATCATCATCATCAACATCATCATTATCAACATCGTCATCATCACCAACATCACCATCATACTGATCCGCATCATTATCATCATAACCATTAGCACCATCATCAATATCATCATCGTCATCAACATTGTCATCATCGTCCTCACCATCATCGTCATCATTCTTGTCATCGTCATCATCATCATGCTCATCATCATTGTCATCCTCGTCATCGTCATCATTCTCGTTATCGTCATTGTCATCACCATCACCACCACCATCATCATGATCAATATCATCATCATAAGCATCACCGTCATCATCAGCATCATCAGCTATATCATCGTAATCGTTATCACCATCACCATCACCAACAACACCATCATCAACATCATCATCATAATGATCCGCATCATCATCATCAACATCATCATTAGCATCAGCATCCATATCATCATCATCAACATCGTCATCATCGCCATCACCATCACCGTCATCATCCTTGTCATCGTCATCATCATCATCATGATCATGATCATCATCATCGTCGTCCTTGTCATCGTCATCACCATCGGCATCGGCATCGTCATTGTCACCACCATCACCACCACCATCATCATCATACCATCATTATCAATATCATCACCATCATCACTATCAGCATCACCATCCTCATCAGCATCATCAGCAATATCATCATAATCGTTATCACCATCACACTCACCAGCAACACCATCTTGACAACTATCTTCTCGCGCTGTGCTTCAACTACCAAAGCTTGCAACTATAGCGGGCATTTCTTCTTCCTTCAACCTCATTCTTCTACCTTCAACCTCATTCTTCTTATCCAAATTTAGCTCGATCGATCGACTCTCAACGACCGGTACCGCGTCAGAGGATCGGGAGGCAGCTGGGGCTGGAGCTGGCGCCGACTGTGCCGTTCGAGAAATTCTGGGCCGCCGTCTCTGGCGTGACGTTGGCCGCCGCAGACACGTTGGCGGACGCGTTGGTGATAGAGGTCAAATTCGTGGTCAAACCTGCACGAGGGGCCAACTCAACGCGTGGCTGTGCAAACTGGCGGACGAGCAGACACTATACATATACACACATATATATATGTGTATATATATATACATATATATATATATATATATCTATATATATATATATATATATACGTAGATGTGTGTATATATATATATATATATATATATATATATAGGTTTCGTATCTGCTCACTCGCACTTTTGCTTGACTGGGCTGTGTTCAAATTACATGGGAACTTAGATCTCACCTTCGCCTGTCTACCTTGACCGCTGGCTTACTTCTGTTGGCGTTGGCGCAGTCACGCAGTTTGGCGTATTCACCCCCATCTTGACAGCTATCTTGTCGCGCTGTGCTTTAAATGCTAAAGCTTGCAACTATCCTGGGCATTTCTTCTATTTGTATACTTGGTTCTACATGTGCATGTGTGTGCGCCTCTGTCAATTCCGGCTGCGCCTGGAAATGCTGTTTGGAATTCGCTCATGGCCTGTCTCCTGTATGGGCATTCGCGCTCACTTATACTAGCTTGGCTGCGCTGAACCTGTATGAGTTCAGTTCTAGCTCCAGCCTTAGCAACAATATAATATGTAGCTATGGCTTTAGGTATGTTTTCGCGGCCAGAAAACCCCTATAGCAACTTCGTGTTCACAATGACATGCTTCTAACCACAAGTATCATGCCGTTTCGCTTAGCTTGGGCTTGCCCTAGCTTAGGTCCGCTTCGCTCAATATGGCTCTGCAAGAAGTCGTTCGTCTTACCAGAGTTGGCCAATTTGGCTCTGCTTGAGATGGCGCAGCGTATCACATGAAAGAGGACTGGTGGCTGTGTTAAGATGCCATGGCTGGCTGGTTGGAACTGACCAGGTGGGCTGGTGGCAACAATGCGAAGCGAAACCCTCTGACAAGCAGCGCAACACAGTGCGATGCGCAACCAAATGCCATGCAACACAAAACGCAGCAAAGGCAACACAATCCAACTCAAACTACAGAAGAACAACACACACTCATGCAACGCAGCGGGCATTAATTCGAAACACAACGTGTCGAACCTGATTTCCAATGGAATGAAAGCATGCCAAATTTCATCAAACATGCAACACAACCGATCAACACATACGAACGCAATGCGCTACTAAGAGTGCCGCTCGGATCGACGAGTTGAACGGCGAGGGGGTTGAGGGGTTGAAGGCTTGCTGGCCGAACAAAATTGAAAAGTTGAGTGGGGAATGGGCGGCTGAGGAATTGAAGCGTGTTGGGGCCCAGGGCGGCCTTCACGGGCGGGCTGCATGGTCAAACGTGCAGCTGCACACAAGCCTTCAATCGCCCCTGCGATCCTGGGCCGCTGGTCGCGAGCTGAACCAGCCAGGCGGGCCAACGCTGAAGGTGAAACCCTTTTGATCGGGGCGCGGCTAAACCTGGAGCGTGCGTCAGCCGTGCCATTGGTCGTGCCGTTCTTCGCAAGCGCCCCCGACGTGACGTTGGCTGCCCCTGCAGACTGCCCCCCGACGAAAAGCGAACCGCTTCTCTTTGC